AAAAAACTTAAATTCGATCGAATAGCTTTCTACTTTCACAATACACGGTCTCGTCAAGGTGCGTCTTTGACCTCGCAGTGTTGGATCGTGAATTCTCTTTTTATGCTGTTTGCCTATTTTGAAATCTCTGTAAATGAAAACTAAAGGGGTTGATATGTGCGAGTTAATGACGCGCCTTATCAACACATTGTGTTGGAGTTCACAGCTTGTTTTTTTTTGTTTTTTGTTGTTTTTTTTTCCAGTAAGGTGATCAAGTTCCAATGCTATTTTTCCTCTATTTAAAATCGCAACTATCAACTCTGGTTGTTGCAGCCTGTTTGGATGTGTACTATCCATTGTTTGAATGTGTTAAAATGAGCGAATTCCAATGTTGTCAGCTTGTTAGAGTCGCTGCTGCCCCGGTTTGGCGCGCGCCCGACTTCCGGTTGACACCTAACAGTCAGTAGCCATTAGAATAAAATCCCGTTACCCCCTTGCTCTCTCAAAGCAGGACGATACATCACGGACATGATTGCCACGCAGCCAATATTTCATCAAAAGCAGCCCATTAGCATAGCAAACACTCCGGCTGCTTTCATCCTAGCTCTCCCTATTTTTTATTTTCCTCCGAGCATCTGGAGCTTAAAGTTTTCATTTTCCTAAACTTCAGACAAATCTGATGCACGAATAAAGTATTGTCTGGGTAGTCAATTCATTGTGCTGAGAAAAAGTCACAAAACTGACGGAAAGTACAATTTTTAACATTTCCATCGAAGTATCGTTGAAGTAGGTAATACCTTCGATTTCCAATTTTTCTTTTCAGATTCTTTACCAGGGCCCAATCAAAAAGTTTTTAGTAGAATCGCACTTTCATTCCCCTCTAAAGTTGTATCATGAGTTATGCGGACGTATGGAGATAAAAATGAACTCTACGCAAAGGACTTTAATAGAATGGAACCTTGTACCGAAAATTCGCGTGCTTCATAGTTCCTTTTTGTATTTAATTCATGCACACATACTTCCTTTTGACATGAATATACGTTCATAATTATGAAATCCCAGAGAGAAGTATGTATCGTATCATGATTGTGCTGTTTAACATTTCCGCACCGGCTTTATGGGTTTTAAGAGAATGTTGCGAAAAATTATCGTGCAAAATTTACTAAGCCTATTTTTGAACAGGTGAAAAAATTACAAGAATTCGTTTGAAACAACAATGCCTGATCATTCAATTATCAAAGAATAAAAAGTTGTTTGAAAACTATGTTGCGTACCAAATCATGTGCGTTTGTAGTTTAACGATTGATATTCCAGGTGAACAATATCCCTAGTCCAATGGAAAATATCCTTTAACTCTTTAATACGCATAATAAGTTTAAGCGGCAATGATCAGCAGTCGGTGGCGTCATTGAACTACTACGGCGTAAGCAGAAGGTAATAGTTCAGACAAAGACATGACGGTTACAATAAAACAATAGCACCGCCAGTTACGTCATCACTTATGACGCCTCAAGCGTAATGAATAGTCCTAGGCCTTAGAAGGCTGACTGGCAAATTCCACATTGTCTGAGCCCCCTAATGAACTTGAGTTCATTACAC